AAGTCTGAAATCAGAGTGACAGTGGGGTCACAGCCCCTCCAAAGAGAGATTCATTAGGGGAGAATTCTTTGCCTCTCCCAGCTTCTGGTGGCCCCAAGTGTTCCTTGGCTTATGGACGCATCACTCCAATCTCTATGGTTACTCCTGCCAGGGTCTGTGTCAAAACTTCTGCTTCTTATAGGGACACCTGTGATAGCAAGTAAGGCACTGATAATTCAGGGTAATATCATCATTCCAAAATTCTTAATTTCTGAAACTTACTGGATTTCGTTAACCAATGTCACCATTAAAAAAAAATCCTTAATTTAATCATATCTTAAAGAAACTTTTTCCAAATAAGGCTCCATTTCCAAATTCCAGAGATTATGACTTGATATCTTCAGGTAGCCGTTATTCAGACTACTACAGTGAGTAACCTAGAATATGAACTAGACCTTCTATTCTCTCAATAGTCTTGGGCTTTCATAACATTACAGAGTAAACCCTTCTGAGTAGCTCTGCCTAAGTTTAGTCAACAAATAGATGTGAAGCAGAGGCCAGATATTGGACTAGATACTGGAGATACCAAAAATGCAGGACCTGGTTTGCACACTCCAGAAACCACAGCTAATGGACAGTAGTACCTACCTAAAAATCAGTTATTTAATTTACCATGACCTCTGGGTCAGCACAGCTGTCACTATTTTTAAATCTTAAGGTTGTCAATCTATAAATTGCTTTTCAAATTTTAACAAAGTTATGCACTAAAATTCTTCTGGCCAGTCAAGCTAGGTGATTATGGCCCCAAGAGCCTGGCTAAATGAATAAAGCCTACTCCAGTGCTTCGCCATTGTTTGCTGTGTGTGTTGTGCTTCCGTGGGCCAACATGTGGCTTCTGCCATGTAAGTTTTTCAAGGAACAAAGGTTGATTTTAGATAATAATTTGTGACTATGAACTTGACAAATGCCATGCTTCAAAAAAAAAAAAAAGAGAGAGAGAGAAAGGAAGGAGAACTAAAGGAATTCATAGTTTTACACTGAGAACGAATGTATGGTTATACCTATTTGTGAAGTAAATCCTGAGGAGCTGTGTGTCTGGGTTAGGATTAGGGAAAATGGCACATCAACATCTGAACAGGCCTTGGGCAGGCCCAGGCTCAAACACTGGCCCTTTGCTAGTAGCATAGTAAGCATAAACACCTTGGAAGAATTCTTCAACTTGCTCAGCCCTTTTGGAAAAATTACCACGATACACATGGTGTGCGATAAAATAGTTCTACCCTAGACCCAGGAATCTTTGTCTTCTAATTTCTTTCTAAGGAAGTAATCAAACGGAAAGGGAAAATATCATATGAATGAAGATATTCACTCCAATACTACTTATTTTAGAAAATTAGAAACTGACATTACTCTATAAGGGCATGATTTCATAAAGTATGGTACATTAATTTGATAGAAAATGGTGAAGCTATTTAATACTGTTAATGTGAACAGCATATGAAGATATGAAAATTGACTGATATAGTCTAAAAGATTATGAAGGAGAATTATAATAAAAATGAATTCAAATTATAAAAAATATCAATGCAGGTTAAGAAATGATGGAAGATACTAAAAAGTTCAAAATATCTCTGTCAAGCTGAAATTATGGGTGGTTCTTTTCCCTTTTAAAACTGAGTTGTTCACTGTTAATACTCTTTTCACAACTAGAAAAGAATAAGTTAGCTGAAGGGTAACAGATTGAGGCCCTCTACGATTTTCTCTGTCACAGTAAAACACAGAGGTTTAAGATAACACAACACCTTAAAGAAAATGTCAGGTTAAAGAGGACTGCGAGATTATGAGAGAAGAGGCAGTTCCGAACACTGCAAATGTCAGGGTCTTGACAGGCCTGGGCACCTTTTTGGCAGTAAATTGTTTGAACACTGAGAGCCTCAGCAGTCTCCTCTGTAAAACCAGGAAAATAAAGCCAACATTTCAGATTTGTTATAAGCTTTTGAAAATATATATATATGTTATGTTTTATTATACATGTAAAATGTATGTTACAATGTTGCATCTAATGAATTTAAGGCATCTAATGAATTGGAGATGGGGATGGAAAAGAAGGCAAAATACATTAGAAGGTATTATGATTATACGAATTAATGCCCCTAAATGTATTAATGTAATTAGGAACCAAAATACTGAAAGAGAGGAAGAGATACAAAATAAAAGACAAAGAAAAAATCCTGTAATGTTAAGTTTAAACAGGAAATGTCAATACGAACTTTTGATTTTTTAAAGTATATTTCCCAGCTCTTTCTACTAAAAGTCAGAGAAGCAGTAGCACCCTAGTAATAATAAGCCAGTGCTCAGATCTTTGTTTCCAAACACCAATCCCAGCTAAAAAGGGCTTCTTGGAGAAAAGAGTGATTTCCAGAGGCAGGAAAAATCCAAAGTGAGCCTAGAACATCCTATTTACCAAAAGCAAGGAGCACTCAAAGGCTAAGCGTACAGGAGCCAGCTTGAAGGGACACCCACTGACCACGATAGGACAATTTTAGCATCTAAGGGAATAACAGTAACAGATTATAACACATTGAAGTTAAAATAGATAAGTCCATGAATTTATACTGATGTAAATGGTTAAGAGAGAAAGAAAAGAGAAGGGAAGTAAGCAAGCTTTTCTTTACCAAAGAATGGTAAATAGGATAGAATTTTAAAATCACCAGTTTTCATACCCCATTGTAATAACTGATTCAAGAAAGGATTATTGTGAATACTAAAACTATTGGGTGAAATATTGCTGGGAAACAGGATATCCACACATTGTTAAAGTATTCTATCTACTAATTATAAAACAAAAGTGGTCCCCCATACAATGGAAATATCTAGTGGATACCACCTTAACTAAGTGACCAAACTTAGCATCTTCAAAGCTGGGACAGCATGCCTCCTGAGAAGATAGAGCAGGTATACAGAATCTCTCCTAACCCCAAAATGTAACATGAATCCAGGCAGGCATGAAGACACAATCAGACAAGTCCAGAACATGGGACCTAAACAAAATAAATGGGCCTGGATTTTAAAAATCAATGTCATAAAAAAATAATAGAAAGCAAGGGTCTGTTCTAAATTAAAAGATATAACAGCTAAATGTAACAGAAAAACTTAGACTGGATCCTGGATTTTTTTTTAATGCCTACAGCACCTGGTCTTCCTAGGTTGTCTTCCATCCAAGTACTAACCAGGCTCGTCCCTGCTTAGCTTCCAAAATCAGACGAGATCGGGCACATTCAGGGTGGCATGGCCGTAGACTTGCATCCTGGATTTTAGAAAAAGGCAAGGAAGCATTTGAGAGTGGGGGGTGAGGGGTGGAGAGATGGTATATTTGAATATGGACCGGATATTAGATGATATTTGACATGACTGTTAATTCTCTGTAATTTATAGTTAAATAGTCCAAGCACAAAAGGAAATTATGTGTGTGCCCGTTGCGTAAAGAAGAAAGGATGTAAAACAAAGAGCACAAAGGTGGAAAAAATGTTAACAATTAGTCAATCTAGATGATGGGTATGTACTGGGTGTTCATTGTATCCTTTCAAGTTTTCTGTAGTTTAAAGAAATTTTAAACTATCAAGAAAGAAAAAAATTTGATCTTAAACACTGAGTTAGATCATTTATGTTGCATGTGAGGTTCATCACCTTTCCTCTGAATCCTGAGCACAGAGAGTATGGAAGCAACCAAATTTTCTCAAAAAAATGTTTGCTAGGATAAATCTGTATCTTATCTAGTTTTTGCTTCAATAGACTGGTATGAAATATACCTCAGCCTCTCCCTGCACTACTCTATAGAGGCCCTGTGAGCGAACGAAGGCCTACTCATACACGATGTTCCCTTACCAAGCAAAGTTGCTACCTTGGGGTGGAGATGGAAAACAGAAGTAACTGCTACTAGAACAAAGAGAGAAGGCATGATCCAGCAATCCTCCAGGATATTACAGAAAGTATACTTGCCAATTTCCTCCCACTCCTTTCCACTCTGCAAGATCTTCAGTTTAGAGGAGGTTATTTCCATGCAAGATGGGACAACAGGTTCATATATAAGAAAAGGGAATGCTGGTAAAAACTGAAAGTATTTGAAGTACACCAAGAGAGTTTACTTTGGTTATATCTCAAACCGATGCATGTGAGAAAAGCAGACACGTGACAGAGAGTTCTGAGCTAGAGAACACCACCCCAGAATGGCAGATAACTGCAATCTGTCAAAGGGGGTGCTGGCAAGCAGTGTGGGCATATGGCTGGGTCTACTACAGTTTACATAAAGAAAGCCTATTCCTGATTATACTTGGCTATTAGGGGTAGTCACTAGTGTTCATATTAGCAAGAATTCAAAGCCCCAAATTCTACACTACATGATGAAAACCAACTGCAATTTTATACGGCTTAGGAAAGACTCATTTTAAAAATGTAAATGGAGAAGACTGGTAGGGGGAAAAAACCCAAAGGCATTTTGCAAAATGTTTTATTTAATCTCAGATGGTTTGGTCTCTCCCTTCCAGCTTGGCAGAACAACTTTCATGGGGATTTGGAATCATATTCTTCTGTTATTCGTATTTAATCATGCGTTAGATTTAAAAGCTATTTGAGCAGAGAAATATTATAGAAAAGCTATGTTCTTAGAGCTATATTTTACATTTACTCACAATTTTTATAGTTGCCTTGAAAAATACCAACTTACATATAGTAAACATACTGGTATATCTTCATACCACTTATCAACAATAGCTCTGTGAAACTATAAATAGTTCTTTAAACTATGTCAAAAAAATACACACATAGAATCCTCAGCTGTGATAAGAACACTAAAGAAAATATTAAAGTATTATTTCTAAAATAATGTATTGATTGCAATAGGTAGAAAAAATGATGCGCTTAGGAGATGAGACGTGTGTTTACAATGACTTCCTCATCATTAAAGCAACAGACAGTTGTTTCAAACACAAAAAGTTAAATGAGATCATTAAAAATAAACATACCCATCTTTGGTCTGGTCCACTACACCACTTAAAAGCTCCACAGTCTTTGGATTCGGCTGGCTTTCTCCAAAAATGTTCAAATATCGAGTGACGAAGTCACTGGGAGACATGAAAAATTCACCATTTTTTTCAATGCTTGCATACTATTTAAAAAGAGAGAGAAAAGATATTTTAGTCTCAAAAGTATACAATCATAAGATGAATAAGTTAAAAAGCTGAAAATATTCAAAGGATAAAATATCAGATATGATAATATTCTCTTCACAAAGACAGTTACTTCCCATCACTTCAAAGAAAAACAAAAACAGAGTTTGCCAAATTTAACGTTTATACCAGTGGTTCTCAACTGAGGGCAGCTTAGCCTGACCGTCCAGCTTACAAACACCAATGTCCCAGCCAAATGCAACCTACAAGAACTAGTCTACTCTATTTATAACCTGCCTTTCTGGGGTGGAGTTCTCTAACTCTGAGCTTCCTCGGTCTTTATTTTCCCCATAGGGGACATCTGGCAGTGTCTGATGATAATTTTAATTGTCGTAACTTGGAGAGGAGGGATACTACTAGCATCTAGTTGGCAGAGGCCAGGGACATCGCTAAACACTATCCAATGCATGGGATGCCCCCATAACACAGTGATCCAGCCCACAACATCAGTAGTTATGAGGCTGAAAAACTCTGGCTTACAGAAGTTTGGAAAGACAACTATGGCTTGTTCTTTAACAAGGACATATAGCTTTTATTAAAAGTAGGACTAATTATAAAGTCCTAGGTAAAAACAACCTAATTCTTTTGCCCATTCATGCTTCAAGGGCATCAATGATGTAAGAAAGGATGACAGGCTGAGCTGGAAAATAAACTACGAACTGCACGGCTTCTTGTGGGATTTTATGGAAGTGGGTATGAAATGCTGCTCTAGTTAGTGTCCTCTTCATTCTAGAGCAGAAATGGTCAACAAGAACTAGGTGGCACGCGATGCTGTGTCGTAGCGTTCCCCCAGGTCGTACCTTTTGTGTGGTACATTCCAGCTCCTGTAAGTGGGAACTTGCTAACTCCTGCTCCATGGAGCCCCAGGGACTGTGGGAAATGCTGAGAAACGACCTGGGGATCCCATGATTTCCTAACGGAGCAGGAAAGAGTCTCTTGATTCCAGGAACGGAACAGTGATTTAGGTGGACAGTAGTAGGTGGGAGGTGAGGACAACGAGCTATACAAAGAACAGAAAGAGATGGGTGACAGGAACCACACTGGTGGCCACTGTGACGGGGGAGCACAATGAAGTGAGGTACAATAATAGCGTCTCCACTCCAACTGTAACCCCAAGGTTAAGCCTGATTTAAATTGTTTTAAAAAGCCACTTCTTATTTCTACATTTTAATTCCAATGAAGGATAAGCTCTTGCTTAAATACTCAGTAACAAGCTTTGGAGTCCCTCGGGCACGGGCTGCCCTGAGTTCTCCTTCTGCCTCTTACCACCTGCATGACCTCAGGTAAGTAACTAATGCTTTCTGGGCCTCTGGCTCCTTACCTATAAAATAGAGATAACAACATTACCTCCTTCATACCGTTGATCCTAGAAATAAAGTAATAATCATGTAATAATCTTAGCACAACATCTTACACACAGTAAGCAATTTATAAATTTCTATATTACTAGTTTTATTTCACATTTTTTAGCATAATACAGAAGAAAAGCTCAAAGATGGCCTACTAATCCATTCTTCAGTTAGCAATGAATTCAGCTTTTAGAAAATGTGAAAGAATTCTATTTTGATTTTCCTAAATGAGGCAAAAACAAGACTGAAATATAAAGGAAATGACACTGCTAATTACAGCAACACTGTGATTTTGAATTACACCTATGTTTGCTTATCGTAGTAAAGAATTAACTTAAAAACAAAATTTAACTCCTCTCCAGTAGAGTTGGATTATTTCCAGTTTGGAGTATTTTTAAATAAAGCTAAGGTAACCAGCCGTGTATATAACATTTGTGCAAATTCCTGGCAATTTTTGAAGGCTAGACTCCTGGAAAAGAAATTGTTGAGTCAAAGGAGAGGAACTTTAAGGCTCTTGATACTTATTATCACACTGCTCTCCAGAAAAGATTGTACCAATTTACGCTCCCCCCAACAGTGTGCGAACACGCCCTTTCCCCACCTTGTCTATCGCATTTGTTGCGAATATTTTTCCAGTTTGATATTTTTATATAATTGAGTCTGTAGGTTTTTTTCTCCTTTGCAATTTTTTCCATTACTTCTAACTTTAGAAACTAGTTCTTCCTCATCTCAAGGCTAATTATTCACTCGTACATTCTCTTAGCTTTTTTAAAGTAGGTTTATTTTTTACCTTTAAGTTTCAATACATTGGTACTTTGTTTCTGTATGTGATTAGAGGTAAGGATCCTCCAACTTTCGTTTTTTCCATTTAATCTCTTGGTTGTCCAGGACCACATCTTACAGCTACCACATCTTTAAAATGTTATTTAGTCTTTCTTCGGGAATAGATTTTACAAGTGACCTCAAGTCCTTCTCTTTTACAATTTGTAGAAGTTTTAATATGACTAAACACACACTTACAACATGGGAAGGCTTTTAGGATTCCGTGAACAACCCAGTATAATACTAATTGTGACGTTTAATTTTATGTGTCAACCTGACTGACTGGCCAAGAGGTGCCCAGATGAAGCATTGTTTCTGGGTGTGCCTGTGAAACTGTTTCTTGATGAGATTTGCATTTGAATCTGTGGACTCAGTAAAGTAGATTGCCTTCCCCAGAGTTGGATGGTATCATCTAATTCCTTGAGGGCCTAATGAAACAAAAGGTAGAGGAAGAAGACTCCACCCTCTTTATTCCTGCTCCATTGCTTAAGCTGGGACATAGCTTCTCTGGCTCCGGGACTGAGACTTACACCATCAGCTACCCTGGTTCTCAGGCCTTCAGACTTGAACTGAATTGCACCACAAGTTTTCCCCGGGTCTCCAGCTTGCAGACATCAGGAGACTTCTCTGCCTCTGTAATGGATGGTGTGAGCTAATTCCTCAAAATAAATCTAGATGGATGCATAGATGGATGGATATAGCTAGAGAGAGAGATCACCTACTGGGATCACAAGTTACTTCTCTTTAAATGCATCCGCTTTTAAAATTTTTTATCAATATGAACTGTTTTGTCATAAGAACAACGTTTTCCGAAAAACGAATTATTTATTTTTCCTACGAAAAAATTTAAGAACATATATGCTTCTACTGACAATAATTATAAAAATCCAAGTGTAGTAGTAACAAATATTACTACTACAATTTGTAATATGGACTATTTCTCTTGTCCGGTTCCGTTACCCCGTCTTCCTATCTCCAACGTCTGTAGGCATTCAGCCACTTCCGGTTTTAGACTTCTAAGCAGTGCATATCACCTCCTTTGCTCTCCCTTGAGCTACCTGTTTTCTCCTCAATTTCCCCATTCTTATTACCACCCAAGATATATATCCAGTGGTCATGTTTACCTCCTGTTCTCTCTCATCCATTACATAAGATCAGTCATTTTCATCTAATAGTCCTTCAAAATGTTTTTAACTTGCCCATTCTCCATTCTCCGTGCTGTCACAACCCTAATCAAGTTATTAGGGCCCACACCAGGATTACACCCAAAGCTGCCTAACTCATGCCCTTGCTGCACCAATCAAATCTCAAACCCATCCTCCACGTGTCACTGGATTACTCAGAACATCTTTAGTGTCTTCCTACTGTTTGGCAGAAATGCCAAACTCCTAATTATCCTTCTAATTTTGTCACTGACACCCTGTAATACTTGGCAGACTCCTTGGCACAGAACTGAATTTAAATAAACATTATTTGAAGAACGAGCAAGAATCCCTCAACCTGGAGAAGCTGTCTGCTCCCAAAAACCACGTCCAGGTTCACTCAAATGTGTTCTTCTTCCCCAGACTGCCTAGGCTGGCCTAAGCTGCCCTCCTTCATGCCTCTACAGCTCCCACTCATCCTCAAGTCTCCTCTAATTCCCTAAAGAGCCTTCTCTGACCACTTACCACCATGGAGACCTCTCCCTCCTTCCATTTCCTATGATATGGGCTTTCACCATACATGGGAGCCTTGAGTATACTGACTTAGATTCTTTTTTACCTGCTGCCTGCCTGTAAACCTGGTCTCCTGTATAAAATCTGAACTCCTATAAGACAGAGTCAACTGCTTATACCTATTTTGCAAATCTCGCTCACCACCGAAGTTTCATGGTGTTATACAGTTTAAGCACTCAATGTACATCTCTAAATTATCATGAAGCAGTTATTAGGGAGATAAAAAACACGTCAAGCAAAACTGACCACACCAACACATCAACTTCCACATCCAGACAAAACATTAGCCACCACTTATCTCAAGAACAGCTTGAGCAATAAAGTTCAAACACCTTATGCTAGACATGTCTTACACCAAGTTCCACCCCACCACCAGAACCCAAGACCCGGTGCCCCAGGCTACCCAACACGCCCAGCACGCTCATAGCATTTTGCTTAGTACATGCTGTTCCTTTGCCTGGAGTGTCTTCCTTTGCCCCACGACCTTCCCTACTTTCTCCATTTGATAACTACCTACTCATCTTCAAGCTCAAATATCCCCACTTCTCTGTAACTTAATGACCTTCTCTAGGAAGATGTAATTAGCCTCACATTATCTTCCTGCTAATCAATGCTATATATTGCTTATCAACCATTATTATAGCTTTTTCTTGCTTAACACTTCAACACACACAGTGAGATAGTTAAGGGCAAGAGCCATGATTTATACATCTTTATCTACCCAACAACAAACACTATACTTACTAATATAGGAAATAACTTGAAAAAAGAAAAAAAAAAAAAAGAGAACAGTGGAATTTATGTTAACTCAAAAACATAAAATAAGCCAGAATTGGGCTCATTTTAGTCCTCCAGAACCCCCTTTTTCTTTATCTGTCTCAGCTCCACTGTCTCTTTTCTTCTCCACAGCTGCCAACTTCCCTGTTACAAGCACATCTGGTCCAAAGGGTACAATGAAGCTTCTCTCCACCTCCCCCAAGCTACAGAGGAATCCTCTAACTAGTTTAGCAGACAGAAGGCCGGGATATTCATTAGGAAGAAAAGTCAGGAAAAAGTCATAGAAAATCAGCAAAGTAGTCAGGTTTACGCAGGGCTTAAGGCTCATCGTACTTCACTGCAAAGCCCAGCCACAGCGCAGACGCACCTGGCACGGTCCCCACGGCGCCTCGCTCCTGCTCTTCCTCTGCCACACACTGTCTGCGGTAGATGGTAAACAAGAGAGCCTCAGCATGCCGAGCCAAGGATTTCTGCTGGTACCGCACTATCCAGGCCCGATGAGATCACTCGAATCTTTGCCAGATCCACAATCCCTCCCAGAAACTGCTGATCGCCGTTTTCTTCAGGGGCAGTTCCCCCTACATCGTCCCCTCAGACCCTAATGACAGAACTCTTGTGTAGTCATGCAGTCCTAGCCACCCCAAGGGATGACAGTACTTCCCTATCTGGTCCGATTCCACCTCAGCCCACAGGCCTACTCACACAGAAACCCCACAGTTGGCGCTCCTGAACTCTGCAAGGAATTCCTACCCTCCCTGGGTCTCCCTGACCAATCTGATTTGTCTCCAGTATAGACATGCCCGCTATTGGGATACTGCAGATGGAGAAGACACGTTGTTCCAAAATAGGATCTTAACCTGGCCTTGCCAGCTGTCACATGGCCTCGAAAGGTGGACACAGCTTTTACCTGGAGCCTTTCCACTGGATCATGCCAAAAGACCAGTAAGTGTCTAGGACGTACCACCTATTGAGACACTCTAAGTTGTTCCCCTTTCCCGTCAAAAGGATGTCTGCAACTACTGCTGGTTTAGAAAACAGAAATATGTAACAGACAGGTCCTGAATTCAAAGAATGATTATGACTTTGGCAGCTCAAGTTAATGAACTTTATACATTTCTCTAGGCTCTCTGGCACGTATTATGTGCTCTTCTGCAAATGGTCTCATAGAATTACAGCACTAGAGTTCTACAATACAGACCTTAAATACACAGACAAAAAATGTCTGTTGCTTCCTTATACACACCTCATTCTAGCCATGGTGGGCCCAAAATGTACAGCAATAGACACTAGTCCAGGTGAGAAACAAAACTTGTATTTTCTGGACCTTCATTATTCAAAATCCTTTTCCACCTTAGAATCTTAGAATATTGCATTGTCATTTCTGGGCCAAATACAAATTTATAAAAGAATTCTGCTTTCTTATATATAATCCAAACCTCCTTACAAATTTATCTTTTCCTCTCCAAATTTACTCCTATGAGTAAAACTGCTCATAATTTTAACCATTTTTCTCTTGGAGTCTTTGTCTCTATTGTGTTTTATTAATTATTTTTAAGCATATATGAATCAATAGCTAATGCAAATCATTTAATCTTCACAATTTTTGTAACTTCAATAATGTTCAATAATATACAAAGTAGAAATAATAGTACAATAAACCCAGTACTCCATTTCCCAATTTCAAAAATTATCATCATACTGCCCATTCATTTTTCCTACCCTACCAAAACTCGATTTTTTAAAAGCAAATCCCAGACATCATAATCTCATTTGTAAATACTTTAGTGTGTATCTCTAAGAAAAAGGTCTTTTATAGTTCCCGTAATCATAATACTATTACCTAGCCTAAAACTCAATTAATAACAACTACTTAATATCAAAAAATTCTGTCAGTGTTCAAATTCTCTGATTTTTCCATTTTTAAAAAATAGTAACACATTTTGATGAGAAAAGTGATGCTCACAGAATTATTAATTTTCTAAGTTATATATTCAGTACACAGAAGTAGAATATCAAGTTTCATTTGAACCCTTGTTCTTCTTTATGTATAGCACAGCTGCCTTTTTGTCATGTTTAGAAAAGGCTCACATCAGGAAATCAAATATATGGTGACGGAAGGAAATTTAACTTTGGGTGGTGAACACGCAATACAATATACATATGACGTATTATTGAATTGAAACCTATATAATTTTATTAACCAATGCCACCCCGATAAATTTAATTTAAAAAATTTAGAAAGTACAAATATACCAAAATAATTTCAATAAAAATGCTGAATTTTTTTTTAAAAAAAGGCCCACATATATACTTTTTAAATTATCTTTATAAAAGTGGCCTTTTCTTTTTCGAGTACTTGGATTCCACTTGAGTAACATTAAAGGTGGTTCAGTGTTTGGAACCTGAGGTAGACTTTTGTTAGAGTATCAATCATTCTCTGCTCAATATCACTAAGTAGGTAAAAGTATAAGAAACTAAGAAAAAAAAACCCATATGGTGTCTGTTGTGATCCCATCTCTATCATTATTCATCCTGAGGTCTCTACATCAGGCACCACAGTTGTAATAAAATGGGACGATGACAGTGAGGATGATGGCAACAATAATGACGGGCTTCTACCCAGAGAGAGAGCCAGACAGCCCCCTCTTGGTGAACGAAGGATTACTGAAACATTGATGAATAGCTTTAAACTTCTTAGGAGAACAAACATTGCCATCAAACTGCACAAGTCAATCCTGGAAAGGTAGATGGGCTGGGATACTAAATCCCTCAGAAACTCATTTTCATTACCTGACATCATATGAGATAAAAGAAACTAAAATGTAAGCTGTGTTGCCATCGCCATCACCTACAAGTTTCTGATACAGTTTTTTAAAAAGATATAATTGCAAAGGATCTCTATCATAGGTCTTAAGTAAAGATACTTTTGAGGATTTTTAAAAAAAATATAACAATAAAAGAGCTGCTTGAAAATAATCTTTAAAAGTTACAGAACAAAAATCAAACAAGGAAACGAAATAGATTCCTTTATACTGACCTTCAAAAATATTGTTCTAAGCTCAGCTGGATCTGCTCTCTTGGTTAAAGCCACCTATAAATAAACATAAAAGTGTTTATATTATTAGAACAAAGCTGAGAAATCAAGCTAGAGACTGAAAGAAAATAAACTCCAGGTTAGAAATTAGTGGATTTCATTTTTGTACTTAAAGCACCAAATTTCCCCAGTGCATAAACTACTCCCTGGATTATTGATTAGCCTCCTTATGTGGCTTCTAAAATGCTAACATTCTGGGTAAGCAACCAGTAAAGCTCCTAATGTGTAGTGTTTAATGTATATATATTTTTTGTTTGTTTTTTGTTTTTTTTTTCCAAAAAGAAGGAGAAAAAAGTGTCAAAACAAATTTGTAACGATCTGGTATTTTAAAATCATACTCCAGAGTGACCCATACCTTTTCATAGGGGAACATTAAATATTAAAGTACAATTTATTTAAATATGCAAGAGAACATAGTTCTTAAAGTAGTTAGTGAATAAAGCAAATCATATGAACAAACAGAAGGGAATTACTTCCCACAGTTCCCATATTCACAAACAGGCGTGAATGCCTCACTATCTGAGCATGTCCAGCAAAGTCTCCTCCTCTCCCCAATTTTTAATTTAAGAAATAAGAAGTCTCCAAAGGTACGACTATTATTCTCCATATTCTAGAAATACAAGGGGCTATGGTTACCTTTCAAGAGCAAAATTTGACAGATTAGCTCAGAATAGGTGTTGTGCTTAATTCTCCAGCCCACAAAGTCCAAAAACATCATTGGGAAAAAAGCAAGACAAACTTGAGCATGGCTGCCCCAGGCCAACACAAAAGAGTCCTTATGTGGAACCAAACAGTGGGCTTATTCAGTGTCCCATCACCCAGTCCTGCTGGCAAAACCGTCATAAGACTGAATTCTCACCAAGCACCGTGTCTCCCCATGATATAGCCAAGGAGGGGTTCCTGGAAATACCCCAATACTGGAGCCATGTCGCTATCCATGGGGAGATTTATGCAAATTGTTCTAAATCCCTTCTGTGTGTTTGCAAAGGCTCTTCTGAGCTCTTTGGACAATGGGTTCTCTGTCTCTAAATATGTAACGGCCTGAGCTCCTTTGCCCACCACTGTCAGGAATAATTTTATTAACTGATCATTGGAATGGGAGAGGTACTCTTTCGAAATCACTTGGTTGGTCACCTTGTTTCCAAAAGCAAGACTGATAACTCTTTTAATTTCAGCTGAGTACTTGTGACCACAAGTGCTATATTTATCCATAAGAATCTGTGACCTTTTAAAAATCCTGAATTAGTTAGTGTTCTTTGCTGTTCAATTAAGGAGGAAAAAAAAATAGACTGTTAACCAACTTAAGATTGATGATAGTGCTGACTTGAAGGTTGCAGGAGAAGATTCTCTCCTTTCAGATCTATATTCTGAGAGATGGAGTAGGACAGACATTATTGGAGAAGATGCAACAGCAAAAAATGCCTCCACCTTCTTCTTTTAGTAGCAGAGAAATTCCGAGTTCCACATCTCAAGACAGTCCATAAGTAAGTAGCCTTTTTTGAAAGGCATATGGTGACCCTCGGTACTTAGTCGGTTTTCCTGTTAAAAGCAAAGGAAAGTTTCCACAAAGTGAACTATTCTTGCTCCATCTGAATATCACATCCTTTAAAATCTAATTAGTTCACTATGCCATGTACTTCACAAAGCCTTCCCTGGGTCATGCTTTCACAGTGAATTTCTTCTTCCTAAATTCCCACAGCTTTCTTCTGCTTATTGATCCCAAAATGCACATTCAGTGCTCACCATCAGGACTATAACTTGGTGAGAGAGAAGAAACAAAGCTTTCACTTTGTAACTCTCCCAGGGTCTCCGGCAGAGGAGAAAACAATACAAACGGTGACCAAACACTTAAGTCATGTCAACCAATTGTGTATAGAACACGTTATGGTTTTTAAAGCATGACTATCCCCTCACTGGATCCTTGCAGCAATCTGCGACACAGAGCATATTATTGTCCCTATTTTACCGAGGGGAAACTCAGGCTCGGAAAGGTTCCAATATTTCCCCCAAAGTCAGATTAAGCGCCAGTTTGTACCAACATTTCTAAGTGTTTGAGATCAGATCCTAAATCGTCCATCTTTTACTGTGTAGGTCTTTCTACTGAACCACATTATAGGCAGCTTCAAACCGACCATAACTTGTGTTAACCACTGACAAAATATAATACATGCCTAGAAATGAAGAATCTCCCAATTTCTCCTCTCGCCAACAGTTTGTAGTGTCCATCCAGTGCTGTGCTGAAAGACATGGCTTTAGTGTCAGACTACCCTTGATTGGGGGACAGGCCTGACCTCCAAACTCATTAGCCATGTGACCTTGAGCTACTTGCCTGACTTGTTGGTCTCATTTTGCTAATCTATAAAGCATAAGTCCCAGATGGTTGGAGGAGTGATAGGAGACAGTTACATAAAGTGCTTAGCACCAAAAACACCCCAACAGTTAAAGCACTCAATAAATGGTATATATTATTTGTATTATTTATCCAAAAGTGTTTACTAAGCTAACTCCTAAAAATTTTTAAATGATGAGCAACGTGGCTCATAACTTGAGAAGGGAGAAATCAGGGTCTTCAAAAACATTTGCCAGAACCCTAAACAAACACTTAGGTCTTCCTAACTCATCATTCTCTCTGCTACCCAGCCCCATCCAATGCTACTTCTTAGAAACAAACCCAAAGTTCCAGGTATAGCACATGATCAGTGATCACTATGGAATTCTCGAGGTCCACTGAAATTAGGTCCTGGGCACATTCTACTAACAGGCAGGTGACTGTGGTTCAGTAGGGGATAGATCCAGAAAAACTGCTACAAGCCTCCGGGGCCTCACCTCCGCACTAATTCCATCTACTTTCCAATGCTCTGTGGCTATTCAGAATTCCCACTTCTTCTACCTCCCATTCTTCTTGTTTGGGTGTCATCTGCAGTGAAGAACACTTACACAGCTTCACCAAAGACAACACAAAGTTAGAGCTAAAAGTGCCAGGGTTCTGAAGGTGCACTGAGATGGAGTCTACCTGGTGGCAAAACCAATACCCAGAAAGTTCGCTGAGCTGGAAAAAGGGAGCCACAGAAATGAAGCCTCCCTTCTCAAATCAGATTAGCTCCTCGGCGTGCACGCTGTGCATCATCTGACAAGCCTTAGTTCATTGGGCTTTAAAAGATTCATCGAACTTTAGATTGATTTCAGAAGGCTGATTTTCGTTGTTATATAAATGGATTCTGTCATATACTAATAGCATTTAAATGTTTACATCTACCATTTTTATAATCCAATTGCCTGATTTTATCATTACTCCTCTTTTACATTTATAAGAATAAATTCCACTCTTAAAACAAAATTTTTATATCAGGAGTTTTAAAATAAAGTAACTGGTTTTCACACACAGATCACCACGAAGGAAAAGGGTTCTTGGCAGATGACTATAAAATACTACTATTTGCTACTTAAATTAACAGAGAATTTTATACTCAAGCAGGTTAATGTTCATATCAAGCTTAAGGGAGAAAGAGGAGGATTAGACCAGGAAAAACTATGCATTATATATTTGTTCAATAAATTAAAAGAAGTTTATTTTTATTAAACTTTAGTATGGGAATTTCAGGTCAATTCCATGAATCTACATTCCACAGGGCAAAATTTGAGGATCACTGAATACGTAAAATTTTTGACAAGACAAACATTAGATACAATAGCTTCAATAGGTTATCAATAGCATTTGCAGAACAGAAATACCAGCTAGGTACATCCCAGATATATCTATCTATAGATAGATAGATAGATAGATAGATAGATAGATAGATAGATCGATAGATAGACAGACAGACAGAACGAAAGCAAGACCGAAGATAGATAGATAGATAGATAGATATAAAAACAGCCAACAATAACATAACTTCAATGACCGGTTTTAAAAAGGGGGTAGTAGGAACCATGGCATGGACAACCAGAAAGATATCCTTCAGGACAAATAAATTCACTCATTTTAATATGAGTTTCAGAAGCCAAAAGAAAGCAGATACTAGGAAAGATTCTTCCACATGTTGGAGTATTTTTAAGACTGGCTTTCTTATACTGATATCGAGCTGCAGTTGCCGGCTCATTACTTCAACACATCACAACAGTACAGCATTGAGGACTCAAAAATGTTGCTTAGGTCTAACAGTGGTTGGGAAGAACCTAAGAAAACCTACATGAAATATGGGAAACTAATTTGAAGAAGAAAAGGTAAAGAAGAGAAAAGCTATCATTTTACACTGGTAATCTCCAGTGATACAACACCATGACCTCCTCAAAGGTATCTGAGTCTTCCATATCCCCAGCTCTGGCAAAGACCAGAAACTAAGTAGAGGCCCCCAAAATGTTAATTAAAGAACATCTTCCAGGTGGGAAGAAATTAGATCTTTACAATGAAAACAGGTAGCTCCCTTTAGACCAGTGGTTCTCGAAGTGTGGTCACTGGGCCATCAGCATCACTTGGGAACTTTTAGAAATGCAAAATTTCACACCAGACCCCAGACCTACTGAATCCAGAACCCTGGGGGTGGGCCCAGCAGTCTGCGGTTTGACAAGTCTTCCGGATGATCCTGTGCTCTTAAAGCTTAAGAATTGCAGCTTCAGCTAATGTCCAATTCTGTCTGATTAGGACCAAGGATTTTAGCCCCAGTTGCGCATTCAGGCCACCTAAAGAGCTTTTAAGTTTTATCAATATATATTTGCCTTACTGATAAATTGTACACCTGAAACGTACTGGATTTCATTAACCAATGTCATCATAATATAATTAATTAATTAATTAAAAATAAAAAAGTTTTATCAATGCCCAAGCTCTGCCAAAGGCCAGTTGAATTAGAACTTCTGAAATGGGTATCTTTAAAGCTCCCCTGTGAGATTACGATGTTTAGCTGGGCTGAGAACCACTGGGTTAGTAGAATCCAAGGTCCCAACCTCAGCTTCCTACTTTACCAACTGTATAATAACAGCCTTCATTTAGCAATACT